GGTCTTCCTTGTTACTTGTATGGGAACGTCGAGGTCAGGAGGCATGTGGACCCCTACTCACCTTTTAGTCATTCAGTGGCCATTTCTCCAGCACCTGAGAAGGAGACAGCCCTGGTCCGTCCACTGCTCTCTGCACAACACCCACTCCCTCCCTCCCCCTTTTCTCAACCTTGACTGTGTGCTGTCCTCTCCCACGGGAACATCTCTCCTTTCTCTGTGACAGAGGGGGGCTTCCAGTCTGTCCAGGAGACCTTCCCAATTGGCGGGGGTGGGGAGATGTGGCCCAGTGGACCCCGGGGCCTGCCTCTCCACTGGGCTCCACTGGGCTCCTGTGACCGCCCTCGCCCCGGCCCACAGTCACTTAGGGAGCCTGTATGGGCGTCAGTCTGCAGTGGATTTTGAGCCCCTGGGGGCCTGGGCCCCGGGTGCTGGCAGTGCCCTCACTTGGTCCCCCCTGCCTTGGCAGGTCCGTGCACAACGAGCTGGAGAAGCGCAGGTGAGTCCCAGCCCTGCCCTGGCCCCGGCACTGCCTCCCTCTGCTGCCTCCCTCTGGCCAGCGAGGGGGCGGCACTGGCCTCCAGACCCCTTCCCCACAGGAGGGCCCAGCTGAAGAGGTGCCTGGAAGAGCTGAAGCAGCAGGTGCCCCCGGGGACGGACTGTGCCCGCTTCACCACGCTGAGCCTGCTGCGCCGGGCCAGGACGCACATTCAGGTAGTGTGGGCCTGTACCCATCTGCTTGCCAGGGCCTGGGGGTGCAGGGAGGGCCGGGTGCAGCCAGGGGAGGCCTGGGGTCACAGCCCACGAGAGGCTTCAGCCAGGTCTGTATACTCTTGGCTCCCACATCATTCAATAGAAGAAAAGTGGGGGGACCAGCAGTTGGCGTAATGGCTATGTTGCTGGACTCCCATGTAGCTGACCGCGGTTTGAGTCCCAGACCCGGTGGCTTAAACTCACGCCGGGCGCATGTGCATGCATGCCCAAAATCCCGAGAGGAGAATGGAGGAGAAGGGATTGCAGTGTGGCCATCCCCTCTAAGGGGTGATTTCTCGCTTTCTGTCTCTCTGGTGAGCACACGTGCCCTATAGCAAAAACTTCTCAAAAAAAACCAGAAACAAAAACGTGGGAAGCAGGTCTGTAGGCTGAGGCCTACACAAGCTCACTGTGCTGGCTCCCCGGCTCCAGCTGGTGATGCCTCGATCCCCGATCCCCGCCGTGGGGGCCCCCTGGACTCCTGCTGGGTGGAGGGCACAGCTGCTGGCAGGAGTCCAGGCCAGGCCTGCCTGAGGCCCCCCGGGCTGCAGTGCTGGCCTTCGTACTCCTGCCCCCACAACCCTAAGGCTGCTCTGCGTCGCCCCTCTAATGTCACTCTGGGAGGCAGCCCGAAGACCCATGCGGAGAGGCCTGAGAAGACTCAAAGTGCGCCTCCCAGGGTCCTTGGTGCTGCCTGGGCTGAGTGCTCTGCCCCTGGTGGGCAGGAGGGGTGTGCAGACATGAAGCCCTGGGCAGGCTGCCAGTCGGGATTGCACACAATCGGGACCGTCCACTCTCCCTGCCCTCCTGGCCTTCTGACAGCCAGGCTAAGGCCTCACTCACAGCTGGGAGAGGCAGGTTTAGTCCAGGCCCAGCTCCATCTTGCATCTTTCCCTCATGTATTTAGCGAACACCTGCCCTGCCAGACACTGGGGCCACAGCAGACGGTCCCTGGCTATGAGAAATGTGCTGTCCCAAGGTGCCTGGGGTCACTGTTACCGGTGTTTCTCACGGGGCCTGGCCTGCCCCTCAGATGCCCGTGTGTGCCCTCGGGGGCTGGCAGGCTGTGGTTTCCCTCCTTCCCTCAAAGCCCCGACGACCCTGGGGTAAGTACACTGGTGTGCTCTGTGTCCTGACCGCCTCCTCCAGGCCGTCTTCCTGCCCTAGAATGCTCCGGGCGGCACAGATCTGCCAGTGGCTCGTGACAGTCCCAGACCCTTCCTTCCGGTGAGGCTCCAGGGCCTCCCCAGCCCAGGCCTTGCTCCAGGACGCACTCCTTCTTTTACAGAAATGCCCGTTTGCCCTGCACAAGGCTTCTTCCTTCCCCACCTTTGCCAGGCACTTCTGGTCCCTCCATACCGGCCCAGTACCCCATTGGCCCCATCCCCTCCTTGTTGAATGAGGGTAGCAGACCCTCCCGGCCGGGGGTCTGCAGGGCACAGGCACTAGCCCTGCTCCTATAGCTCTCGCGTTGGTAGAACTGGGGAGGGAAGGGTGGGTGGATGCCAGGGCCTCATGGCTCCTGGGGGTTCTACATGGAAACTAATTTAGGCTTTTCTAAAAACTTAAATTAGTGGGTGTTCACCTGAAAAATCTGACCTTTTGGCTTTTCTTAAAAGGGCTGGGGCAGTGAGACTAGCAGTTAGCATAGTGGTTATGTCGCTGGATTCCCATGTAGTCGACCGTGGTTCGAGTCCCGGACCTGGTGCTTAAACTCACACTGGGCATGTGGGCGTGCATGCTCAAGATCCCGAGAGGAGACTGGAGAAGGGACTGCAGCATGGCCATCCCTCCCGGGGGTAATTTCTTGCTTTCTGTCTTTCTGGTGAGCGCATGTGCCCTATAGCAAAAACCTTCAAAACAAATAAATTAAAGGCCTGGGGTGGTCAGGTAGTGGACTGGAGCCGGGGCTGCACTGAGTGCTGGCAGAGCCTGGGCCTGCCCTGTCCTGCTCTGCCTATCCACTCCCACCCCGCCTCAGGTTAGGGTGCCACAGCAGGCCCACCTGGGCTGAACTGGCCCCTGCGTGGTGAGCCAGGGCAGGCGTGGCCGGCCCCCTAATGGCGCTGCAGTGGGCTGTGGGCGGAGGTGTGGCCGTCAGGTGGTGCTGGGGCAGGGGCAGCTCCCCTGCTGACGCAGCCGGGCGGGATCCACAGAGGCTGGAGGAGCAGGAGCGGCGC